ATTATTGTAAATTAAAATTAGAATTTTAATTAATGTAAATTAAAATTTCATCTTATTACATTTGACAAAAAATTTGAACTTCAAAAAACAAAATATTGTAAAAAATAAAAATATATGTACTATATTTAATATTTTTTAAAAGTTTAGGGGACAATTTGTAAAAAAATTCCGTTAATAAGTTAACAGAATGTTTGTCAAATAGACCATTTTGAAACAAAATTGATAGTTTATAGATCATTTTAAAAGAAAAAATTGTTTATAGATTAAAATGAAAATAAACCACATAATTAATAGATCATTTATTGAATTTAGCCAAGAAAATAGTTTTTATTTAACATTAGATTATAACATTTTATTAGTTTTATTAATTGATTATTAATTCTATTAATTAATTATTAATATTTTATTAACAAAACTAACAAATAAAATTAAATTTAAATTTTATTTTTTTATAATGAAATATTAACAGACAATTGACAAAATTAATAATCAATTAATAAAATTAACAATCACTAACAAAATATTAAATAAGGACTAATTTTTCAATTTTATATAAATAAAAAATTAAAAATATCATAATATAATATAAAAGGTTAAATCTTACAAATTTTTTAAAGTGAGAAACGAAAAATAGGTATTTGTTCGATGGAGAGAGATGTAACCTTGCAGCTTTCTGGTCTCAATTACTTTCAAAACACTAGGATTCGAAATAAATTTGCTTTATATATTTATTTTTTTAATTTTTTAAATAAATATATAAACATATTTTGTATCAAAATTTTTAATTAATAGATTTTAAAAATCTTATTTGGTTTTATTTTTTAAATTTTATTTAATTAAATAAAAAATTATCTTTCTCTCTTTTCTACTCTTATTTATCTAAACAAAATTTTTTAATAAAATCCATCTAAACAAAATTAACAGTAATTGTTTCATTTTCATTTCCTTCACCTCTCTTTCTTTCCTTTCCTTTTCCTTCCCTCTCTTTCTTTCACTTTACTAATTTTTATCCAAACAAACTCTAAGTGTGTATAAAGGAGAAGGATTATATTGCGCCTCTGGATGACTTTTTTTTTTTTTTCTTTTTTTTTGCATGTGGATCATTTATTTTTTATTTCATTGTATTTTATTTTTTAAACGTACCAGGACTTCTTTTTATTCGATTTTATAATATACCAGGGCTTCTTTTAAATGTACACTGAAGGGATTATATTTTTTATTTTTTATTTTTTATTTTATTTTAGTTGAATTTAATATAAAATTTTATCTAAAATTTTCATAATAAGTTTTTGCCTTAAATGATTCTTTACTATGGCCTTGTTTTTCTTTTGCAATAATCACAAACTACTGGTTTTCACTTGATTGTTTTCTGTTTAATTTGTCCTGCCCTTCTTCCTATTGGATAAAAAGTAGAATAGAGTGCTCCAACAGTTTAGAAATAGCAAGAATATTACTTCTGCGGTTGGTTCTTTGGGGCTTCGTTGCTTGCCTTGACCCACTCGTTGGCAGATTTTGCTTCTCACTTGTTGTGGCCACACATTCAGTACTTAGCAGCACACCCCGTGCCAGTGGCCGCAATGTCAAGGCACATTTTAGATTATGAATGCTATTATAATTTATATTTTTTTGATATAATTTCCCTTTTCCCAATTTTTTCATGTTCAAAAAATTCAGTACTTAGCAGCTTAGTGCCCTCAAAATTTTTCCCTATTTTTCTGTGCAATATCCCATTTCCACTTAGGCAATTCATGCATCTTACTAGCAAGCCTTTTCATAACCAGCACCCTAATGTGTTCTAACAACTGTATGATGGGTTTATACCTTGCAGCCATGATCCATTCATTGAATGTCTCAGTCAATGACATCACATTGAGGGAAAGTTGTGAAAAATGTCTAACAGCATAGCTCTCGAGGTAATTTCATCAAAAAATCATATTCTTCTAGATTGATTCTTCTAATTTGCTCCATGCTCTGTCTGTGCTTCATGAAGAATTTCTTTTTTCTCCATTTTTATTGGCTTCATAATTATGAGTCTTCTAAGCTCTCAAGTCCCACCCCAAAATTTTCAAAATTTCACAAAGTTGATCACTTTTGGCTGGCCATCATTAGGAAAGATTAATAATGTGATGAAAACCAATCCAAAAGTTGCCATATGTGAGTGGGACATGAGAAATTGACTACTAATGCCGTTTTCACTTTGGGATCTTCCACCTAAATTAAATGCTCATCGTCTATGAAGCAAGAATGCATGATTGTAGAGTTTGTTGATCATGTAAGGACTTGAGGAGCGAAGCCGTGGGGTTAGCCGAGTGCCGCTAAAGAGCTGAAATCGTGGTCTGTCTATTTTGAAGTCATGTTTTTCTGTGTGGGTAAAAATTTACTTTTTAACTTTTTATTTTATTAGATTTATAGGTTTTAACTTCTTACTTTATATTATAATATTTTTAATCCTTTATCTATTAGAATTAAGGAAAATAATTCTAATTTTATAATATTTTATTAGTTATGTTAACTGATTGTTAATTTTATTATTTGACTGGTAATTTTATTAATTGAAAATAAGTTTTTACTATCTAACAATTAGCTAACAGTTAACTAATAACATTAACAATCAACTAACAGAATAATTCTATTAATAGACGATTAAATCTATTAGTTAAAAGTAAGTTTTTATCAGTTAACAGTTAACTGATATTAGCTAATAAAAATAATAATTAGTTAACAAAACTAACAAAATGTTATAAGTGAGAATTATTTTCTTTAATTTTAATAGATAAGAGATTAAAAGTATTATAATATAATATGAGAAGTTAAAACCTATAAATTTAATAAAGTAAAAAACTAAAACTAAGTTCTCGTGGAAAATAAAAAGGCCTACTTATTAAATTGCGCCACATGGGGAGTGCTACTACAGTACTATAATAATATTAAATGAACGAAATGCAATGGAAACCAAAAAGGGGCAACACCTACTTTAGCCCCTCATCTTGTTAAGTTTGAAGGTTTTAGCCCTCACCTTACACTATGATATTTTGAACCCCTCACTTTATATTAAGACACTTTTAGCCCTTCACCTATTAAAATTGAAGAAAATAGCTCTCATTTTGTAACATTTTGTTCATTCTGTTAGCTAACTGTTAGTTAACTGTTAGCTATTAAAAATTTTCTTTCAGCTAACTATTAAAAATCTTTTTTCAACTAATAGAATTAACAGAACTAATTTTATAATATTTTCTTAATTCTATTAATTAACTATTAGTTGACTGTTAGTTGATAAAAATCTATTTTCAACTAACAGAATTAACAGTCAGTCTAAATTAAGGGCTATTTTCTTCAATTTTAATAGTTTAAGGGTTAAAACCTACAAATCTAATAAGGTGAGGGTTAAAATGTCATAATATAAGGTGGGGTTAAAACCTTCAAATTTGATAAGATGAAGGGCTAAAAATGAGTTTTTGCCCCAAAAAAGAAGGATCACTTGTAGCATGTTGGTTAGAAATGAAGGGAAAGTTAATCCCACTGTGATTTAACATGTAAGTGAGCATGCATGAACAAGAAAAAGAAAAAAAAAAAAAAAAAGAGCACATTTTAAAAACTTATTTTAGTGTTATATTATTAAAATTAATATTATTTTATATAAATTTATATTTTTATATATTTAATTTTTAAATAAAATATTTAACAAAATATCTTACTTTAATGCTTATTTAAAACAAAATTTTCTTAAAAATCATACAATTAAAACACATTTTATATAATTTAATAAAATAATTAAATTAAAAATTTTCAAAAAGGAGACTAACTGCCATTAGATTTTGAATCCAACTGCTGTCACCACCTAAGTTGGGGTGGCAGGCAAGCGCATGTCAAGTAGATTAACTCTACGGTTGAATTTGTTTGAAAATACTCAAACCAACATCGTTTTAGAGTTTTTAAAGGGTAAATATTTCTGACCAAGCTTAGCTCTGTGCTGCTGTGCAGAGAGCCGAGCTTGGTCACTGTTTAAGCTTTGTCTTGCTCTAACGTGGCTTGAATTTGTGTTCTGTTTTATTTTGAAAAAGAACAACGCGACAACTGAGCATGCGTTGGAGATGCTTAGAAGTTAGAACATCAAAGAAGAATTTCTAAGCTTCTGTTGTCGCTCTCTCAACCACAGCTCCTGCTATAGGGAACATTTGGT